ACTCTTATGTTGCTGAGTCCTTAATTCTGCTAAATTTATTTAAAGAGTATTGAATTTTGTTCTGGTATACAGATCAGCTTAATTCTTTTTGCTATTAAATTGTATTAGAACAGGTCCAACCAGTTGTTGTTTAATTGATTTCAAATCAGAGAAATAATACAGAATACCAGAATGTTCTGCTGTAGTTATGTGCCATCAAGTCACTTAAGACTCCCAATGATCCTTGCTTCAATGATTTAGATTCTCCCAGAAGAGCTGTGGGTGAGCATTAACATTACTGGTAAGTATATTCATTTTCTCCTGGACACAAGAGCCTATTATTTGGTCCTAAAAGCCTCTGAGGTCCCAACTCTTCTTACTATTTCTTGTTGTTGGAATTGACGGAAAACCTCATAAGCACTTCCTTACTTCACCTCTGCCTTGCATGCGGACTTCCGTGCTGTAAAACAACCCAGTGGTAGATGGAATTTGGTCCAGGACTTAAGAACAAGAAATGACATAGTTGAGCCTCTACATCTTGTGGTTCCTAACCTTTATACTATAATAGACAAAGTGCTAGTCAATAAGCCTTTTATTTTAAGAACTACCTTCCCTCTGTAACTTGATCTGTGCCACTGTTAGAACCTCTACTTGGAATATTATTGCTTTTAATTTTTGACTCATGCACTTTTAATTTGTTAGTTAAATTTGTGTCTTCTAGGGTGCAACAGTTCCATGATACATCTTCAAGGATATGAACATGTATGGCTAAGAACAATTGATAAAAGTGCATCTAAATTCCAAAATCAATCTCCACAATAGTCTACGTGTTTCCTACTGCCAAAGGGGCCCTTTAGAGTAGGGAGAGAAGATCTTCACCTGGAAACCTACAGTGTCCCTTTTCAGCAGGAAGTAGCTAAGAGAATATCCTTTTCCTTATGAATCAGGGTAAAATTTCTCTCAGGGAGGAGTGATAGGGAATGGCAAAGGACACACTGACAAAGGAGATTAATCAGAACTGGTTTTGACAAGCACAGTGGCAATAGGACAATTAAAACAGACTTTCAAGTGGGGGGAAAGAAGAACGAACTGGGGGGGGAGGGTAGAGAAAATAGTGCAACAATGAATGAATGGAAACCCCAAATCTCTGTAAATGTTCATTAAAATTAATTAAAAAAGCAAAAAAAAGTATATACCCACCCCCCACCCACCCAAAAAAAAGACTCCTAGTGATCCTGTACTGCTCTGAAGCCTGCCCTATCCTGAGCCAGTCTCACTGACTCCAACACAGCTAATCCCATTGCCCCAGTGACCATGTCAACTCATCTCGTCTGTGGTCTTCCTCTCTTGTACTGTCCCTTGACCATTCCAAGCATGATGTCTTTCTCTAAGGGGTCACTCCAGTCCAGGTGACCGAAGTATATGAGACAAAGCTTCAAAAGGACAAACTTGGTTTCAGATCATTTGGGATGAATGTTTTATTAGGTTTGTTTTTTTCCCACTGGAAGGGACTAAGGATATTTTTTCTATAAGAACTGTGCTCCAGATTTTCAATGGCTGGTTTTTCAGAAGTAGATTGCCAGGTCTTTGTTGGGAAATGTCACCAGGGAGACTCAAACCTCCACCTTTTGGTTAGCAGTTAAGTATGTAAACTGTTAGCATCACTCAGGTGAACCTAGGCTGGTTCAGAGTCGTCTTCATTTTAAGGCCTCTGAGTGTTCTCTGTTCTGGTTGGAAGAAATGTGGCCTACTGCCAGCCCAATGGCTTGACAGTGAATCTAAAACAAGCTGCCCACAGGAGATTGTAAGGATGGTGCAGGCTCAGGTAAGCATCCGTTCTGTTGTACACAGGGCAGCTAGGAGTAGGAGCAGGCACAACAGTGAGGCATCTAACAATGAGGACAAAAACACAAATACTCTGGAGATAGTTTGGCCTGCTCTCGTATGGTGGTACTTTCTTCAATCCACAGAAATGTGCATCAGTTTTTACCCAAAGACTTCGGGCTATATACCTCTTGCAGCCCTTTAGAGCTTACAAGATAACTCTGCCCTCTCTGGTACTTAGGTCCTACAAAGTCTAGCTACTCCCACCTCCCCAAACCCTCCTCCTGTCTCCTCAACCCAGTTAAGACTGTTGGGGCTCTTTTGGAATTTCGCTTCCTGTGCTGTGGCTTGAAAACTGCCTTTCAGGGACCACAGAGTCTTACTTTCTCTGTGGTCTAATGTTTGAAAACAGCTGTTTCTGATATTTTGATTTTCAAGTTGATCATGACAGAGCAATTCCCTCAGTAAGGTTCTTCTTCATGGCAGAAGAGGAAGTGCTTACCATTATTTTTCTAAGTGAAATATAGATTTATAAAACTGGTAAAAAAAGTGCAAGGCTTCCAAGTGAATTCTAATTGCAAATACATTAACAGGCGAATGCTCTTTTGAACCAGTAGCACTCAACAGAAGTAAAGATTCACTTCAAAAGAATTTAAATCTTTGCCAGTCTTCAAAAATTCAGATTCACTTTTTACATTGAAAGAAATCCCAGTGAGAAGCTAAATCTTAAAGGCTTACTACATTTGAATAGATCTTTTTATCTGCAGCACTCTAAAGTTGCTTAGCTAACAAGGCATTTGCTAGTCCTCATGAGCTTTATATGAAATTCAGACATAGGAAAATTAGCATCATTCAGTACTCAGTCATGCAGAAACACCATCACATCCCTGTACTTGCTAAAAACTGGGCTAAAATATGTTTCTTGCCAGAAGGGACCAGGTCCTTAGTTTTCAACAGGTGGCTTCATTTTTAGATATGTTATGCTGGAACGCCTCTCATCTTTTGCTACCTCCCCGATGAGTTAGTTTTCTCTTGATCATGCAAAAATGTGTACACGATGTTCTAAGGAAATTATCTGCAGAAAAACAATAGTAGCAGCTCCACTGAGTAGGAGTCTGGTACTTGGCACTCTAATTGGAAAAAATGGGGTTTAATAAATCTTTTCCTTTGGACCCCAGCCTCTGAGAGATTTTGCTCATTCTGCATTAAAAATGGAGACTGACACATTCTGGGACTGAAAGAGGTTTTGAAGTTTCTGGAAGGAACTGAGAATATATTAAAACTATTTGACCAGAGATTTTAGGCTCACCTTGACATGAATGCTGCATTTGGGCTTAAGGAATCAGAGTCTGCCTGATTAAGAAGTATAATAATAAATATTCAGCATAAAACCTAGGTCTTGTTTATGGCCCAGGAGAAAGCAGGGGGATTTGGAGCTGCATTCCCTCAGCAGATGAATGAATCACTGGCAGCTGCTATATGAAAGATAAAGAAACCCATCTGCTTAGAGTCCAAATGCTATATGGATCCCTTGTGATAGTAAATAAATTCTTGAAGAGGCTCCACTTCTAAATCAAGAGAAGAATTAGGGATATCTAAATGGTGGGTTTTTTCCATAGTTACCTCCATATGCTAAGTCACAAAAAGCAGAAACTAGCTGTACGCATCATTCTTTAAGCCATCTAGTGGGTGTTCTCTATTTACTGATGGACCAAGACTGGGAAAACAGGCTTTAATAACATAGCAGAATTCAATAGACACTGCAAGCCTCCAATTTTGTTTACTTACAGACCAATGATAAAGTTTTTCTGAGCTCACTTTAAATTGAGTCTGTATTTGTTTTTACCTATTAACACATATATTCTGTTAAGGAAAGTAAACTGTTTTCTGTATAATAAGTCCTTTTTGCACAACAGTGCAATGCAATGATCTCTAGAATTATATGTCACTGATTGAGTTGTAGAGAAGAGAAAAACCACCTGAAAACATTTTATTGATAAGTCAGGGTTGTATTTCCAGCTTTACTATTAATGCATTGTGCATATAATCCTTCTGCAAATCACAAAATGGACACAATAATATCTACTTTACATATTTCTTAGGATAGTCAAAACAATACTGGATAGGAGGTTTTAAAAAAACATTATTGAGTAACAATATTTAAAGAAGTGGTAGCACTGGTCAGAACAGGAGGCAAGATCTTGTTAATTCAGTGAAAGCTGAGACTGTACCTGCCCACTGGTAAACAGCAAACGTAACAAGAATATCAATTGATGAATGAGGAAATTCTTTACATTTACCTCTAACTTGGCCAGTAAAGAAACGATTTTTAAGGTTTTAAATACTTATTTATATAAGGATAATATGAAGGTCTTAAATAAGCCCTTGAAAAGATCTGATAGGAGGTTTTGATGTAGAGATTTTAAATCTGAAAATTCTGGAGAACTTAATCTACTTTAATACACTGAATTTAGAAATCTAGTATCCTTTTCTAAAAGGACTTCAAAATAGAACTGCTCTAATTCTTCACCTCACCAAGATGCTGTGGTTATGTGTTGTCAAGTTGATTGTGGGTCGCTATGAGTTGCAAGTTACTCGATAGCACATAAGAAAAACAACATCATTACATACTAATCTCTCGATCTAGAACGACTTTCTATCCTTTATCTATGTGGATAATTCCTACTTTACTTTCCCATCCTAGATCAAATAGCCATTTCTTAGAAGAAACTTGTCCAATCTATTTCACACTCCTTTCTCTAACAACAGTATCCCCATTTCACACTTCACTAAGGAATTTCCTTTCCCTGCCTTACTATTTCTTGTATTTACTATATAGTATGTTAATATTTACCAAGTTCAAGGGCTCTGAAGCCATATTGCCCGAGTATGAATCTGATTCTAGCACAATGCTTACTGACTAACTTAACTGCTCTGATCCTCACTTTCATTAGTTATAAAATGGACATTACAGCATGTACACAGAAAACTATTATGATTAGTAGATAAGTTACAATCCTTGCAGCACCCGGCTCTTGGTAAGGATCTCCAGTGACTATGGGACATACCTTTTCAAAAGTAAGGTATTCTTACAGCCCTAGAAAGCATTTTACTGAAATAGCATTTAAAGGAAGCAAAGAAAGGAAAATTTGGTAGAAAGAAAAAAGGAATGCATGAAAGCATTTCCGAAGACTTACCTCCATTTTTGCCCACCGTTCGGAAGCATTTCCAGAAGGCCCGTAAGAAGGATGCTCTGTTGTGGGGGGTAGCTTGGATGAAGCTGAACTCCCGAAAGAGAATATGAGTTCCCTGACATACACTGTTAAAGCTGCAAAGAGAAAAAGCAAGAAATCATCATTAGACTAATAGTTCCAAAAGTCTGAAATCAGAAAAAAAAAATCAAGGATAGAGGAAAAAAACCAAAAAAGAAGGTAATTTTTTTTCCACAATAAAACTCTGAATTATAGGTTAGATAAGGTCATCATGCTTGGAAGGATGGAGGGGCAGCACAGAAGAGGAAGACCTCGGATGAGACTGATCGATGCAGTAACTGGGGCAATAGGATTAGGTGTGTCTGAGTCAGTTAGACTGGCTCAGGATAGGGCATGGTTCAGAGCTATTGTACATAGTAGGGTCACTATGAGTTGCAGGTGATTTGATGGTACATAACAACAACAACAAAAGAACAAGCACAGAAAGTGGCTCCAACAACAATCTGAAGGAAAGGCCCAAGGCCTAAGTGAGTCATAGTTTAAGCTGGGCCTAGGAAACAAAATCCACTTCATCACCTTTGAGTTCTTCTGCCAAAGAAATAAAGGAGCTTGGAGTAATCTAAAAATGGACATCCCACTGAAAAATAAGCAAGCATCCAGTAATCATCCCTACGAAACACTGATCTCAGGTTCTAGAAATGTCTAAATTTTGCAAGAAGGAAATCATGGGTGGAAAACATGTTAATAATTATGGTACAGCAGCTATTAAAGTGAAATGGTAAGCAATGGTGTTTTAAATGTCAATTTTCATTTGTTTGTCATTTAAAAGTATGTGGTGTGGGAGGCTGAGTCTCTGGATGGAACAGGAAAAAATGTCAGGAGCCTTCTAGTGCCCTTCTCCCAGATCAACCTTAGAAGTATCTAACCTTTAACACAGAGTATGCCATCATTTAAGATAAAACTAGCCTCTTCCTGACAACATTTTAAAAGCTATATGAAAAAGTGTATTAGATATTCTTCTTTTATAGAAAACTAGCACAGAAATTAATTTCTAAGACCACTAGACAAAGTATTAGGATAACGGCTGGGAAAGGATTAGGTTAGAAGGGAGGTTTTTTTAACCTACATACGAAGTCGTGGCAATGCTGTTGTCTTGAACAAGGAATAATGAGAAATAAAGCCAATGAGCTGTTGCAGGTAAATGGGGCAGGCCACAGGACCAACAAATGAAGTCTGAAATTATGACATTCTAACTGAAATTTATTAAGTTATCCAGAAAAGAATGAATCCCTAAGGGTGCTTCATAGCTTCAGAGGAAAAGGCTGGTGTCTAGGTCATGGTCTAGGCTGTATAGGAATGAATTAATGGTGACATTATATCTCTAGTGTAAGTTTTTAAAATAAATCTATTTTTTAAACTAGGGAATAATTTCTTCACTACACTAAAGAATCTGGTTAAACTTTACACATAGGAATTTACACAGCAAGAAATTTACAAAACAAACGGTACAGCAAGGGCATATAATATTTAAAAAAAGATTTATAGTTGTATTTAGGTAACTGGTTTTAGATCATTCACACCAATAAAATTCATGTTTAATTGAAAATAAAAATAATTTAGAATGTTTTATTAAGGTGGTAATTGATACAGAGATCTAATTTTCTTGAAAGAGTTTTGTAGATAATTTACATAGCTCTTATTTTACTTTGCTTGCTTTTAAAAAACTTTTTGTTCTTTTTAAATAACTACTATCCCACATTTTACCTCATAAGGATATTACACTTTATTGCAAAATAAATTTAAAATAGCTGAATTCATTTACTTGACCTGGAGAAAAACTGTTTCCTTTGCTGGGCGAAATGACTATCTCAGGATTAGTTTCGATCATATATTTTAAAATTTCTGTGTACTGAGTCCTCCTAGGTGAGAGGTTTTCATTCTATTCATTCATGTTCTCCTATGGGTGGACAGCAGTCCAGAATAAAGTTTTAGATCATATTACTTAAAGCTCCACTACTGATGATATTGGGAAGATCAGTGAGGTTGTCACCGACCCCCAGAGCACCATGGACCACCAAGTCCAAAATGTTGCTGTTTGCCTCTTAGAAGAAGCCTATTACACCTCAAGTACAGTTTTATATAAGCCATTTCCTAGGCAGAAGTCAAAACTTTAGAAAAATCTCCTTTTATGTATAAGGCGGTAGAGGTTGGTTTCAGTCCCCGGATCGTGAGTAACACTTTTGTTCTCCATAATTCTATAAGAAAAGAGCGCTTCATTATATATGTCTACTTATGAATGCAGTGTGGAAGCCTGTGGTTTTAGCCTCACTGCTACATTGTGTTTTTGTTTCGTTCCTGGTCCACAGATGAATTCATAATGATTTACACTTTTTATGTCTTTATACTTTTAAACTTTATGTAGTTTCCATGTGAACAAAGATTCATATTGATGCTAAATTTTCATTGTATTTAGCTAAGTAAAAAAGTTTCCCATTAGACATCAAGCTCTAAAACAAAAATGTAAAGCTCCTAAAAATATCAAAAAGGTCATACAGAAGTACCATACATCCAACTTAAACAGATTTCCCCCAAATCTTATTGAGCAAATTCTTTCATGTTTTATGCTGCTTGAGTTCCCCCCTTGAGGGTTTGATTTTGTTATCATTTGACAAAATTTCAAATGTACAGAAAAGCTACAAAAATCACATGAAGAATTCCTAGCTATCCATTAAAAAGATGATTTTATGTAAATGTTGTTAGGTGCCATCGAGTAGAGCATGGCTCACAGCAACCCTATGAACAATAAACCTGAACTCTCTCCTAACCAGTACCATCCTCATCAACTCTGACACATTTGAGCCCACAGCTGTAGTTACTGTGTAAATCCATCTTGTTGAGGGTCTTCCTCTCTGTGGCTGGCTCTCCTTTCAAAAATTGATGTCCCTTTCCAAGTAATAGCCTCTCCTAGCCACATGTCCAAAGATTGTAAGACAAAGTTTTGCCATTCTCATCTCTAAGGAGCATCTGACTGTACTTTTTTCCAAGACTTAACTGTTTGTTCTTTAGGGACGGATGAGATACCAATTGACAAATGTCAAAGAACAGAGGCAGACCTCGATATGCTCATCAATCTATGACAGGAAATTTGGAGGACACCCAGCTGCCTGGTTGACTGACTAGAAAAGATCCATATTTATACCCATTCCCAAGAAATAGAATGTAGAAATTATCAAACAATATAATTAGTATCACATGCAAGCAAAATACTCCTGAAGATCATCCCAAAACAGGTAGAACAATACATTGACAGCGAACTGGCAGAAATTCAAATTGGGTTTAGAAGAGTCATGGCACCAGAGAAATCCCTACTGATGTCAGATGGATCCTGACTGAAAGCAGAGAATATCAGAATAATCTCTATTTGTGTTTTACTAACTATGCTAAGGTTATGTTATGTATTTGTTATGTTATGCTATGTTATGTATTTGTCATAGTCCTTACAGGTAACATAGCTATTATTTTATTCCTTTTACTGAGATCTGATGATTTCTTTAACTACTGTCATGAATAAGAGCTTCTAGAAATCTCTCTACAGGTCCCAGACACCAAATTAACATTTCTTTGTGACTTAAATAGTCTATATCTCAAAAGATATAAATGTACTAAAATGAAATGATCTAGTTACAAATTTCTCAAGATGATTTTGTCAAGAAAATAAGTTATTAAAATTTTGTAATTTTCTTAGGTTAAGTATAACATTTAACACTAGGGCAAATTTTTCCAGCAGTATGTCAAGAAAAGGTAGCAACTGCATACTTGAAAACACATTAAGTTGGTATAATTTCATTTTTTCATCAGATAACAAAGAATATCTATTTAAAAAGTAATATAGATTTGAAGAAATCTGTTTTCTGTTTATCTATTTTCTCTTTAAAGATCTAAATGCTAAGAATTAGCTTATGCCAATTCCAGATAAAAACCTCAAACTCATTGTCATTGAGGTGGAAATGACCCACAGCTGACCCCCCCAGTGGGTTTTTAGAGGCTGTAAATCACACTTGAAGAGACCGTACATCTTTCTATCATAATTCCACAGTTTGAATACTAATGAGCAAAGTATCAAAACTAAATTACTTTGAAGAAGTTGCTTGATTATTACCCAAAGAAATAATTCAACATAAATGTAATTATAAGAAATCTGTATAAAGACCCAGAATAAATACCCATTCATATTTCACATATAGGAGTAACAAGATGAAGATCTTCTGGTTTATTCTTGATGTGGCAAGAGGTTAAAAAAATCACTTATCTAACACTTAAGTCTACAACACTCCATCTCCTCTAGGTCATTTTTACTCAAACTGAAAATGACCAAGGACTCTTGACCTACACAGTTCTACTAGACTGCAACAGCTCAGGCATCTTAGAATATCCTCGTATCTCCTTTCTTCTAAATAACACCAGGCCAACTCACTAGAGTGGTCTGTATTCTGTGAGTAATGTATTCTACACCCACAATACGCCCATGATCTGTTCTTTGAAATAGTACGTTACATATGGTTTGGATGGTATGTGAGCACTGTATTAAAACCCAGTGTAAGCCTGATTCTGGTCATCCTCGTCACCACTCCTGCTGGAGCTGCTGGCAAAACCAAACCTAAGAGCAGCGGTGCCAGTGAGGGCAAATGGAAAAGGATGGAAGCTCATCGTACCCCACTGTTCACTCCCTTAATGTAGCCTGGCCACTGAACTCCCACCGGCGCAGCTGCTGCCTGCAACCTGGACAAGACCCGAGAGTCCTCAACACGTCCTCTGTATCTCACCTGGGGGCAGGACTGCAAGAGTCTGGGTTTGGGGTCCTTTAAGCCTATAAAGAGGAAATAATAAACAAAAGGATAGCTGCTTCCCTTAAAAGAAAAAAAAAATCTTTTAAGACCACAGACATATATGCAGTTGGACACTTGTTTGAATGGACTTAAGCAATGCAGAACTGTACTAGGAATGTCTTATGCTGTTTTGAGATGAGCAAGGTACTGGAAACACATCTACACACACAAAAAAACAAGCTAATTATGAGAACACATCATACCCAACTACATAGCAAAGAACTGGCCAC